CTACAGAGTGCATAATTCTTCTCATGATTCATGGCAAGCATGTTTTACTGATGTCACAACAGTACAAATTGCAACGGTCAGTGTCCCTTATACAACATAATTTTAGTGTCTACTGACCGACAACACACTACTGTATACTGATGAGAATGGTCAAAACAAGTGAACCCTTTAGGCAGCCTCTGGCCCCCTTTCTTGGAAATAAAACATCCAAGAGTGATTAGCAATTTGTGAAAGACAGCATGTGGCAGGCAGGTATAGCAATTGGGTCTGATTTTCTAGTTTATGTCTCGTTAAATAAAACTGAAGGCTATAAAAATTAGAATTTACCATAGTAGCATCTATATTATAATACATAATTTAAATTAAAGTTTCCTACTTCAGAGAAGGGTGGTAAATAAATTAGAGAAGGGGGAAGACCTACAGGATAAATGTGAATATTGTAATACTAGGGCAATATTGAAACTTTTTAAAAATATTCCCTTATAAAAGTAAGAATGTAAAACTTGTATAACAAAAAAATTTGATTTATTAACTATGTTTTGATGCCAAGTTTATTCATATACATTGATAATAAAGTAGTTTAATTAAATTTTGAATGTATCTCTGTAAAATGTCTTGCAATGTACACTTTGACCTACCCACTGTAAGATGGTTAAATAAAGTAAGTAAAAATAGAAAAAATCTATGAAACTGATTTTCCAAAATAACTTTTGTAAAAGCAAGGTACTTATTAATTCATCTTCAGACACCTCATGAGTTATATTTGGATTCCTAAAAAATCAAATGATACATGTTTAGCCAATAAATTAAACATTTTCTTAATGTCTGTGGTACAGTACACAGAAATAGCAATATATGTTTTGTTCTCTAATGTAAACCACTGTTTTTTCTTTGTGATGAAATATGCAACTTTAAATATCCAATATTAAAACACAGTTTGTTCACCAACTTACCGTAACTTCACGCTGTTCTGCTACAATTTCAGTCATGATGTTAGATTTTCAGATATATATCTTAGTTTCACGAGCTGGAGCTGTAACATGTAATAAAAAAATACATTATAATTAAAATTTGTATCAATATTATTATTATTTTTATTATTATTTCATATGAATGTGTGACTTACAACACTACTATATTAGCAGACATAAAATAGGCTTACCCTATGTTAAACACTTATTAATATCAATTAATTAATAAAACTGTTGTACAGTTTACTTTCGTTCAATGGTGACTACTGGTGAGCTAAATTCTTTAGCAATCAAAAAATATAAAATTAAGAATTGTAATACAGCAGATTGACACTTCTCAATATTATCCTTATTTAGGGTACCATTACATTAGTATCTATTACTATCTCAGAATAGTTTGTAAGTATTTGCAATTCCAGAAAAAATAATTAAAATATATCATAAAGTAGGAAATTACATGTATATGATTATTCCAGTAATAAAGAAAATAACTTAAATGACAGAACTGTAATTTTGCTGTAAAAACAAAAACAATTTGGATCATAAATGAGATTACCATCTTTGTTAACAAAATTCAACAGACTTTAATAAAAGAAACAAATTATGTTACAATAAATCAAAGTTGTGAAAAATTTGATTGAAAGAAATATCATTAGAAATTGTTTTTATATACAACTAAGATTCAACTGACTGGGAAATTTGAGTACCTAAATTTAAAAGAAAAACTCAGTAATGGATGAAGCTTATCTAGAACTGGCAACATTTCTGATGCTAAGCATATTCAGATTCTTAGTATTCATGCAGGATTTGCATCAAAATACATTCCTCACTTCTGACTTGTAGGTCAAATTTTACAACCTGCTTGCTGTCAGAAAGATTTACTGGAAACATGCACAATCTCAACCAGCTAGTAGAAAATTTTGCTGGCCACTAAATTTTTAAAAACTTTTGAAGCCCTGCTCTCATTATTGCTTTTTTTTTTGTAAATTCCACTCAAACTTACAATTATATGGAGCTAAAATCATGGCCTAAGTACTCACATGGAAAACAAATAATTTTTCTATAGAAACTGAAAACATGGCAACTTTTCTTTGGTGGACTCTGCTTACTGATAATCAATGATTTCAAAATAAATACAATCCATTCACTATCAAGAGTGTATCCACCATGATATATGTATTTATGGACTGCTCAATTATTCAACACATGAATTAACCCTTTCCCTACTATTTCTTATAGAACATCTATTTATAACTCATGTAATTTAAGTTATTACATCAGGAATAATTTCAACAACCCTCCTCTATACAATTTATAAGGAGTAGATACTTACTCTCTACAATACACTATAAAGCTAGGTTAGTGGTTTCCAAGCTGTGCATCTTGGGAAATTGTTATAGGTGTTGCGAGAGTTTCACCAAATGAAGAGCTCAACAAAGAAATACTGCATATGGCCGCAGGGTTACCATACAAATTAAAATAAGTGGGTGAGGTTGTTGTCAGCGAAAAAAAAGTTTTGAAACAAGCTAGGTGGTGCAAACACCATAAGCCTTTGATATTGTATTTTGAAATTAATAAAGCTCAAAACATTTCTTGTGGCTCCAAAACTTTGTTAAAATTAAAAAGCATGTCTTTTTTAGAAATATGCATTTTCCTGAACCTACAATACAGTAGTGTGGAGACTTGTAAATCTCTACACTACTTAAAAAGTTTTTTCCATGCAAAAATGATACCCACCACCTGTTACAAATAAAATGTTATAACACTAACATATCTAAATGTGAGTTAATCAACACTAATTATTACTTAGTTTTTTTAATTATGGGTATCATGGTGCTACCACTGTCATTTTTGAATGTACACTGCAATTCACATTTTACAGATAACACATTAACAGTGAGTAACACTAACAGTAACAGACGAAATGGCAATCAAAGAATTTAGTTTTACATTGCTTTATTATAATTAAAATAAATTATCCCATTTTTAGTTCTTCAATTTCAAACGTTTTCTTGGTAT